TGTGTGTGTGTGAATGTGTGTGTGTGTGTTTATTCATTTATTTATTGATTTATCTATTTAATTATTCATTCATCTATTTATGCATTTATTTGTTTATTATGGGATGTTTTCAAAAGGATATGAATTGTTGCCAACAAACTCACCCATGCGAGGATATCGGTGGTGCTGGAGATGAGCGTTGACCAGGTTACGGTGACTGTACAGGTTCAGAATCTCTGGATCCTCCGCAACCTGAGCCAGTTTATTGAACACTTGGGAGTAATCCGGCGTCAGGAAGCGACCTAAATTGGCGTCGTAGACTCTGTCGGCAAAATGCACGAGCTCTGTGATAGGGTTATACAAGCCTCCTTGGAAACCGAAGCTCAGATCAAAATCTGGATTGGAGTCGGATTCCTTGACGCCGAGGGGGTTGTAGCTGACGTGCTTAATGATGTTCCCTGCCTTGTCGAAGACCACCAGGGGGCTCTGGCTGGGGTCAACCATGATGTAATACAGACGTCCGCCTCGCTGCATGGCGATGAGACTCCCGTCTGAGTCACGGAAATACTCCGTCAGCTGCCCTGTTGTGTGGTTATATACATGCGTGACCACGTTTGTCTGCTTCATATCGCTGTAGAAAAACTGGAGAATCCGGCCGTAGCGATCTTGTTGAATGGCCAACCGGCCAATGGCATCGTAGTGGTAGAAGAACTTGAAGAGTCCGATCCGAGCGATGGAGATGAGCTGGCCAGCAGAGTTGAAGGAAACGTGGTCAAGTCCTCGTTGGGCCATAAGACCGTCCATGTCAAACTTGTAGCTGACACCGCCCATCATGGTGATCTTATCGCCGACGTCAAACTCCATGTGTCGCGTGGTGCCCTGCGACGTGATCTTGTGAATGTTTCCGTCAGCGTCGTAGCCAAACTCCCAGACCGTCTTCCCTTGCAGCAGAACATCCGTCACATGACTGTCGATGTCGTAGATGTACTCAACAGCCAACTCCTTGTACTTATCCACGCGCCGCCTCCACTCGTGCACACGACCAATCTTATCGTAATCAACGGTCATCTCAAACTTGACCACACCTCCGAATTTGACCTCCACCGAGGTCAATCTTCCGTAATTGTCGCTCTGCTTGGTCAAGGTCATGTGAGGGTCGGAGTACACGTGCTTCGACTCGGTCACCCACTCGATGTTGATCCCGGCGAGCTGCGAGAGTTTCCCGTAGTCTCCGCCGTAGCTGCGGTTGGAGCTGATGCTCATGTTGTTGGAAATGGTGAGCATGGTTTCCACCTGGCGGAAGTGGTTGTCGTAGCTGAACTTGAAGCTGGCTCCGACGAAGCTCCCGTCCTGCGGGAACGTCACCGAGGCGTCCCGGACCAGGGTGCTGAGGTAGCCGAAAGTCAAGGTGTTAGCGTAGCCGCGGGCCTGGAGCGAGGCCTGGGACAGGTGAAGGACCTCCGGGTGGTAGGTCATCTCCACCAGCGTCTGGTCAAACATGACCAGTGACCTCTGACCCAGGTCATTGTAGCGGTACACCATGCGTCGCTGCTCACTCGGGTAGATCACCTGGAGGGGGGGGGGGAA